CAATACGTCACAAGATAACAGTGTGTTGTTGAACCATTGGGAGTGAGATGGTCTTGAGGGGTTGAATGCAGCCTAAGAACTGAAACTCCAGATCAAGAGGAGGGGCACAATGGCACACCATGCAGGGTCTACCATGAAAGCCGAATCTAGAATTGTATGAGATGCCTAACTGAGGAATGCAATGGCCTGACACTAAGGTGATGAATACAGCGGGTGAGGGGATCAAGGATGCAACTTACCGACAGAGAGGGAGTCAGATCTAAGAGAAGGGAAACCAAGGTAACGCTACGGTCCCAATGTCTATGTGATACCAAGGGAGAGTCCAACTCAGGGAGAACCAGCGAAGGGAGAACCATCATGCGACACACTTAACTTTGGAGGTGTCAACTTCAGGATAGTAGCATTTTGCGGCTCTGCTTTAACATCGATCTCCACTCTTACTTTATCGACGTGAACTTCATAGGTTTCGGTCACTTTGGAGGTGTCTCCTCCATGCCACCATATACAGGTAGGATGGTGGCTTGGAGGAGACACCTCCAAAGTTAACGTTGAATCATCGATAAAGCAGGAGTCGAGATCGATGTTAAAACGGAGCGGCAAAATGCTAACATCCGGAAGGAGAGTTGATGAAGGAGTACATGAAGGTGTGAGTCAGCGGGCAAATAGAGAGGTGATGACTCTGATGAGATGGTAAATCATTGTAACACACAAAGTGACGACGAGTGCATTGTGGATGCGTGAAAGTATCCGTCTATTCATGAATAAGGGCCTCAGAGATACTCGACTCGTTCTCAGAGGTCTGGAGGGGTACCGCCATTATTCATCAATAGACGTGATGCAAGCAGTGTAGTTCCATGTACGTCGTAAGGGTGGGTTATGTACGGCTTGTGTGTACAAACGTACTAACGGTCGTACGATCGTACGGACAGGCCCGATCCTAACGTACCTGGGTCTTGTGTTGCACCCAGTATGTCGTATGGGGCTCTGATCGTACGGTCGTACGGACGGTCGTACGGCCGTATGAACGGTCCCGTACAGACTGACAAAACCTTCCCCAAAAAAAACGAAAACAAAATAAAAAAACTATGGGGATGTAGAGCTTTTTGTGCTCTACACCCCCATGTTTTTTTTTTTTTTTTTTTTTTTAAT